TTTTAGTTAGGTAAATTAAAAAAGGTGTAGCGCAGAGTATCATATAGAATTACTCTTTGAAAAAAAATTTATTCAACGCTTTTTTTTTCTGATCTTTTATTATAACAACATCCAATTAATATTTCCTTTAAAATTAGAATCTTGAAACCTTTTCCATCAATGATGACCAGAACTTCATGAGGTAAGGAAATGTAATCTTCTATATACAAGAACATTCTTCTCATATAAAGTGTCATTTTGTAAACTATATCATATTAACAATGGCAATAAATTTGTCAAAAATCGACTTAAGCTTGATGAAAAGGTCCATATACTAAGTATGAGAAGGAGTTCATTGTCATCAAACTCACACTAATATAAGATTTCATGTTTCATCTATAAATTACCTTTTAAAAATTTGAGATGTCGAAGTTGGAGTTTGTCTTAAAACATTGTCATACTTTTAACAGAGCAAAAAGTTAATAATAATATAGTTTCCACTAAGGATTTTGTTTAAAAAGTGATATATTTTTAGATACAACTGAATATTTTACAAGTTATAAATTAAGTTTCAAAAACTTCAAATGAGCTATATCACTTATTTTATATTCTCTTATGGATAATCAAATTTCATGAAGGAAGTTATTATCTCTTTTATGTCTAGATATGATATGCACCTCTCTTCTTTGCTACTTTGCATCTTTATACGTGCGTTAGACTTGTTGCCCGTAAACTTCTAACAACACTTATGATATGTACTATTATATCTAAAACTTCATTTTTTGGATTTAAGTTCGATAAAAGTGAATCAAAATTTAGGACATATTCTCCGGTTTCCTCAAAAGAAAAACATATTTTATATTAAGTAAAATGTATATATATATCGTATACGGAAAAAAGTTTGTATTATGTTAAGCAGAATGTTGAAAATTAAATGCTACATCCAAGCTCCATTAGTTGAAGGCCAATGGAGGATAATGAAAAGTAATGTAATGGATCATTATTCATATTAAGAGGATGACATGCAAAGTAAGAGTAATACACATATGTATATATTATATAGAAACATTATAATCACCCTTATATTTCGGTTATAAATCTAATTTTTTTAAAAAGAATTCTAATGTACAGACCTTAGTCAACTGTTATTTTCTCTGCATCTCCAACCACAATCGTTGCTACCGTGGTGTTTGCCAGTTTATGATCTTGCTTTAGGTTGATTTGTTGAACTTTTCTTTAATACCAAAATTTAGGTTCAATTCTCTAATCTTTGTTTGGTTGGTTAGAAAAATTAATGGGATAGAAACGAAAATATGTTACTTCCTATATGTATAATAACTTAGTTTTGTCTTGAGTTAATTAAGGTCCAAAATAAATTCTCATCTTTCTTATGAATTAAGCTTAAAAAACACTTTTAAACCCATTCCAAATTCTAAACTATCTTAAGCTCTTCTTTCAATTTAAAATTTAAGCCCCAGAAAAACCCAAATCCATGTATAACTTAATCCAAAAATTAAACCCAAATTGAATCAAATTTAAACCCTACTCATTTTAAATTGCCCAGAATCAGCCCGGCCCAGCTCATTAATACCCTCCTCCTCCTCCCCTCTCCTGAAATTTCTTCTTGCTTCAGGCGCAGATAGCAGGGAAAGATGGGTTGGGGGGGAGATTCTGCAAGGAGAAAGAGTGGAGCAGGTGAAAGGGGGAAGGAGAAGAAGCGTGAAAGAAAAGCAATCTGACAAGGGAGAGGCCTAAGATGAAGGAAAAAGAGGAAGGAGATGAAATGAAGGAAAGGAGAGGAGGGGTTTGGGTTTTGAAGAAAAAGAGATTAGGGTTTTTTCTTGGGGGAAAATGAGAGATTTAAAAAGGAAATTGGGGCTGTGAGTTTGGGTAAAAAGAAAAAAGAGGAGAGAAAGGGAAAAATTAAGAGGGAGAGGGATAATAAAAATATGAGAGAAAAACAGTAAAAGGTTTCCAAAATGCATGATAACTCTTGAGTTGGGGGCAAATATGAATTTGGTCATTGAATCAAAACTTGGGTTAAAGTTTGTTTAGTACATGAAAAATTATGCCGTAAGTAGACGAAATGGGTGTAATTTTATTTTCAAACTAATCTTAATTTATTACGAATCTCACAGTTGATGTAACATTGATGTGTTTTTTAAACAAGTTTTAACTTTTTCAATTAAGAAATAAATGAATTCGAAAAGCAAAAAAGATGGATTAATTTTTCAGAGTACGTTAAAGAAAAAACTATTTGCTACGGAAACTAATTCGATCTTTAATTAAATGAATAACTGATTTAATAGGATTGCAAAATGACCTAAGAATCAAAATCATAGTTTTGTAAATGGTGTAATCACTTATTCAATAAAGTTCAAAAGATGTTGCCTTTACGTATTGAGCATTGTTATATATTTTTTTTTTTGCTATAAGTTTCTAGTCATGAATTTTTAGTTAAAAAATATTTTCTTTTCAAAATATTAAAAAAAAAGACATCAAAGATCGAATTGGTGAATTAAAATTCTCATTATTATTTTCTCAAGTTTTTTCTATACAATCTCCAATCTTATATTTTGTAAATATTTTAAATTGATATATTAGATTTTGAATGAATGTTAATCATATATGAACACCATAATTAAAATTTTAAATTAATTTCGGCGTGTAAACTAAATCAATAATTAATATGCATGGTAGTGTAGGTACTTCACACCTTTCTATTCCATATCTCCCGTTAATTTAAAATCTCCGAATAAAAATTAGTAAATCTTTTAATACCTAATCTCATTTATAATAAAACTAATGATATCTCTAAAAATTATTTAACGATTTAGAAATTACTATTTTTTGATAAATTATTTTAGAGTCTCGCGTCACTTTATATTTTGCGTCTCGTTCATTCTCATCGTATTGAATTTGTTCTCTGTTGATTTTAGTTTCTCTTGCTTCTCGAACATATTAGAGATTACATTAAAATTTCTAGTTCTTTGTGCATCAAATGCTTATTATAATGAGTGATACCTTTGGGATTGAATCCATCTCACCCAAATAATTTAATTTAATTTGATAAATTGGGTAGAATATGTGGAGAATATGGGGGCATTCATACAAAAAAGTAGAATATTTTGGGAGTCCAAGTAAGAATCAAATGCATTATGGAAGGACCCACTTCACTCCAACCACATCAAATCAAAGAGAGAAAATATGGCCTATACCTTCTAATTTCTTTATCTTGCATTCACTATTATTTTTTAGTTATTAAATTTTCAATAATAACAAATCATTGAGCTTTGACTCGATCATTATCTTTTTTATAATGGTATCCGAGAGACGACTGATTGAGAATTTAATTTACAGTTTACATAATAATTTAATCACTAATCAAAATAATAATAATATTTAATACTTAATTTTTTTAATAAACTTTTTAAAAAATACCCTTTTATTCTCTTTGGAAAAAAAGTAATAATATATATATATATATATATTTACACTCTCACCCATGATTGAAGCAAGGATGCATATAATATGTTTGTCTAGTGAGGGAAAGAAGAGGAAGGTGTGGGTGGGTGTCATAAAAAAATAGAATGCATTCACTTTTAAGATCTTGCAAAGGCATCAACTTAGATATTGTGGGCTCACATATGAATAAAATAAGATATTATAATATATTAGAAAATATAAACATTTTGACACCTTTTTTTTTTTTTAATTACATAAAAT